TATATATATATATAACACAAAATAATAATTATTAAAAATATTAGTATATTATAAAAAAATAAAAGGCTTATCTTTTTATATTTTTTATGAATTCAAAATTATAATTTAACCAAAAAAAGATATTACATAATTTTAATTACAAGTAGAATGCAAAATGAGAAAACTAATCAAATATTGCAGTGGAAAAGAATGTAGGTAAAGAGAGGGCTAAAGATAACATTAGAATATTTATAACTTATATTAATTAATAAAAATAAGAGGTAAGTAAATAACACTCAAAAAATATATTGATAAATTTAGACAATTAAAGAATTTTAAACAGTAAAAATAATATAAATATTTTCAGAGTAAGAAAATATATACCTATGCTATCTTATAGAAAAATAGTGACAAAATACAAAGCCAATTGGCAAGTTAATAAAAAATCACATTAACAAATATTTAGTACTAAGTACTAGCTAATTTAATTAAAAAATAAAATAAGAAATAAATAATATATTTAATTACCATATGTTGTATATCCTTTAATTATATAAATTTTGTTATATTTTTGCACATTGTATTAAAAAATAAAATAACAACTAAAATTTATTAAAATAATATAATATATCAGATCATAATTTCATAAGATTTATTAAGTTTGTCCGCGCATGGCGCAAGATATAACACTAGTAATAAAAAATAGTCCTAAAGAAAGCAGTTGCATATTGGTATGTTTATTTAATAATCAACATTTGACTGTGACCACATGGCATTAGATTGGTAATTAACTTCCATAATTCTGCTGAACTAGAAGGTTAATTAATACAGATGCAATGCATTTGTTTGTGGTCAAATGAAATTTATTAGTAGTAAAGAAAACATCATACTCAAAACTCCCTTATATTTTAATTAATTATTCTAGCCAGTTTGTAGGTGAAATTAATGTCATAAACGAACTCCAAAAGGAGTAAGGAAACGAAATTATGTTTTCTCCTTTTACCTTTTAAAATCTTTAATTCCGGTAAAAGGGATTCTAAATTCTATGTTCTCTTTGTTTTTCCTCTTGAAGGAAGGGCGGATTATTTTTATTAAAAAGAGAAAAGCAAAATCACGAGTTTCTTGTTTTCATTTTATTAGAACTCCAAAACTATGAAAGAAAGAATTTCTATATCTAGTATTGAAATGGAGGAATATGAGAATCTTTTGTTAAATAATCATTATATATGACAAATCAGAGAAAGTGAAGTCCTGTATATGCTTTTATGCCGGTGAATAAAAGAGAAAATACCTGCCGTTGGTGGCTTTTGCTGCATACACAAACTACGCATATTACTACTTCATTAAGTTCCACCATAAAAAGAGAAGAAAAAGAAAAAAGATATAAGCAGATCCAAAATTTTAAGTTTATGAATTTTTGTAACAATCTCAAATTAATGTATTTTGATAATTTGACCAATGAACTGATTTCAAAGCTAAATATTTTTATATATTTAACGAACTTTTTAGAATAAAAATAATAAAAAATATTGAATTCACATAAACCGGTAAACTTAGCACTAGATCCGCTCATAACCATCGTCACTCTCACGAAAGGAAAATAAGGAGGTATAAAGGGAAGGCAGACAAAAAGAAAAGCTTTTCAACTTGGTTGATGAAAAGGAAACAAAGAACATGGTTTATGGTTTTCTAAATTAAATGATAACAAACTATATATGTGATCCAGCAATAATAATAGATTTTAGAACAAATTACAAAATTAACCCTTCTGTCGAAATTAATTGTATATGTTAATTATAATTATATAAAAATATAAATTTTATCCGTTATTATTTTTTGAAACGGCTATATATAAAAACTTTTAACCTTGTGATAAAATTACCAACTAGATAAATATAGGGTAAATATACTCCAAACGCAAATGAACCAGCCATATGCTCCAATCTCCATCAACACACAACACCTTATGTTTAACTTTTGGTGAGAAGTCACCATCACCACTGATAGTCTTACAATTTTCTACTTTCCTACCAACTGTGAACTTCACTATCTCGTTTGGCCATGAAACTATTTATTTCAATATTTCGAACATTGAAATAATTATTTTCAAGTAAATAGTTTGGCCATAAAATTTTTGGTTTCGAGCGAAATATTATTTTTAAGTGAAATGTTTGAAGTAATTATTTGAAAATGTATTTCAAGTAAGTTTCTCAAATATTCAAATTTCACAATTGTTTTTGTACGTCGTCCAAATACGACAATTATTTTATTTTTTTAGCTTCAAAATTTAAATATCTGTTACGTTTAACTTAAACATTGTTCAATGATATCACTACAGAGGCGGAGCCATGATTTGAAAGTTATGAATTCGGAGTTCTAATCCTTTTAAGTTACTGAATTTTAAATTAATAATTAATATAAATTTAATAAATTTCATAAAACAAATAAAGAATTTGGATCAAAACTACTAGATTCGGTCGTTAGGTTATATATTAGTATTTTTTTAGGTACAACCTTGTAAATGGTTTTTATTACATTGTACGGCCGCACCCCCTAAAAAACAAGTTCTGTGACAACGCATAAGTATCAGCCAATCAAAGGAATATCAGAAGGAAGCATCAAATCCTCTTTCCAAACTTCCGTAAATTACTAAATTCCGAGGGCAATTTAGCAAAATTTTAAGCCCCAAAAGTAAATGAAAAGAAAACCTTGTCAATGTCAGTGGGTCCCATCCTTTGTCTGATGTCTTAATTCTCTAGCATTGTATGGGTATCATCTACTATCCATTTTTGACAAAAAAGAATTTGTAAAATGGAAAGCTGCGACCCCATTAATAGTACTACTTATATTGGTATTAATAACTAGCAACATAGAAGATTGTAAATTTCATGAAATTCAACTATAAATACTCGAAGAAAATAAAAAAGTTAATTACAACATTAATATCATCAAAGAGTATTTATTGTACCGAGTAACATACTAAAAAAATTATTTTCTTGTTTTTATTCGGTGTTCAGTACTTGTTTCGAGGTCCCGACTAATTCGGGTTCGCGTTGAACAAAGAGGAAGCGATCCTATTAATAATTTTTTTATTATCGGGCTCAAACCTAAAAGCTCTTATTAAGGTTGAAGATGTTCTATCTATCCCATTATAACCCTTAGCGATAACAAATCTCATTTTTTTGTGACAAACTTATTCATAAAGTTTATTATTATTATTATTATTATTATTATTATTATTATTATTGGTCCGGTTCACATGTTAAGTTACTAACTTCCGCAAGAAATTTTTCAAAATCAAACTGCACTAGCAATCTAGCATTAACTTATAATAGTCAAGTTGAAATGATATATTCTTTGTATCCAAATTTATAAAACAACTCTTACATCTAGTGCACCATTTTATATCTATACAACCTTCAGAAATTCAAATTTATTAAACTTTTCAAATGTTAAATATTGATTTACTTTCTTTCTACAAAATTAACCTTTTAGCTATACGTTAAATACTTTCCATCTATTATTACTGATATTATTAAGTTATTAATATCACATTCTAAATAAAAAGAATAGAAAGACAAATTCAATTTAGTTAGAAAGGCAGGATAAATGGAGTAACAGTTATACAATTGGACAGATGGACAATTTTCTGTACAAAAGCAAGGGAGGCAGGAGAGAATCTAGAAATGCCCATGTTCTTTTCATTTCCCCAAAAACCAACACACATTCTTTTTATTTTCACATATATTTAAAAAGTCACCATTAATTAACAATAAAATTGACTGTATTAATTTTAATTTATTCATTTAAAATATAACAAATACTCTTAGACTCTTTATTTCGAGGATAATTTTGAAAAAATAATGAAATATTATAGACCATAAAAAAAAATCAAAAAATCAAATAAAGTGAACCTAAAGGAGTATAAAATAAAAATCAGAAAGAAATGAAATGGTGAGAGATAAAAGTGAAGAAAAAGCAGAGAATAAAAAAGGGAGCGGACCGGACCGGACCGGACGGGATGTTGACAAATTTCATGTCAGTGTTGTTTAGAAGGGTCGTTTGGTATTGTTGTGAGAACTCAGAAAGAAGATTTCTTATCTAGCCTAGGATCTCTCTCTTTCTTTTTCTCTCTCTACTCAGAAAATAGTTTACACTTCAGAAGAAGCTCTTTCTCTTTCTAAAAAATAAAAGAACTCAGTGGCCCCAACAGCAGAAGATCAAAATCTCCAATCTTTTGTTCAGTTTCATTAGGATCTGCCCCAGCTTCTTCAATGGTGTTCCCACTTTGCTCTTTCCTTTTATTCACTTCATAATAATAATAATATTATTATTAATCTCCAGTATCAATTCTCCATTATTCTTGATAAAGAGGTCGTTCCATGATGTGGGTCTAAAGGTATAATCTTCTTACTACTTTTGATTTATTCATATTTGACTTTAACTCCAAGAAACATAGGATTTCTGTTTTTGTTTTATTCATGTAGTAAATATTTTAAACAATTTGTTTATAAAATTATGGGTTGTCATTCTTGAAATTGAGTTTACACACTTTTACTATATTATGTACAGTAGGCTGTGAATTTGATTAAGTTCTTGGATTTTATAAGTGATCCTTCTTATAATGGGCTCTTTTAGCTTCTATTTAAATTAAAAAAAGAAGAATCCGCTCGTTTTGAAACTTCTCAATGGACAAAGATAGCAATTTTCCTTGCTTATAAAGTAGTTTTTCTTGGAATTGTAGCATGCGAGCTTTCAATTCATTTATTGGTGCTAATCACTAAGCTTTAGCCAAATGCCTCTGGACTTATTTTGGTAAATTGTTGTATTGTTGCTTAATTGATTAGGCATTAAATGTAAACGTACCTTCCTAATTTTTTGTTTCGGCTGTAGGCTTTAACTTGACGAATTAATGTTGACATCATTTTTCGATTATCTGATCCCTGTGACCACAGTTTGATTCATTCTGCAGTACCTATCATAAGGATTTTCTAGCCAAGCTATAAAGTAAAACGAAAATGGTCGACTTCTTAAACCATCCAATCCATTAGCTAATCAAAGATTGTGTGTCTCTGTTAGGCTATGAAAATCCAGTAATTGGAGTTAGGGGGTTTGGGACTGAGGAGTAGTTGTTTGTTTTAGAGAGTTTTGATTTCAGTGTTTCTGACATAGAAATGTGCTGTGCTATCAATGTACTAATATAGTTTTCCACTTCTCTTTTTCGATATTGAAGTTGTTATAGATAAAATTTACTACGGTTAAATTTTAAGCATGGTAGCCGAGGTTAGTCATATGTTACATATACCCATAGCTTTTAGGCACAGAAGTTGGAACTTAAAAGCTATGTGAGAGTTGTATTTCATTTCTGCCGTTAATAGCATATGTTGAATGTGAAGTAATCCTCACATATATTGTATATTAAGCCAGTTAACATATGCCCTCTTCTTTCTGTCCCCATCAATTCTGTATATATTGCAGTTATGCTGCATGCCGATACGGATGATACTCTGCTTCTTAGATCCTTGTGGAAAAGATATAGTAACATGAAGCAATCTGAATATTATAGTTTTTTTTGCTCTCTCAATATTAACATACATTCTTTTATGGAATGCCTTAATAAAGTTTTATGCCGTTGGTGTTTGTTGTAAGGTTTTTGGTTCGTTGTGCGTGCATGTGTACATATATAGGATTTTAATGTCTTGCATCTTATTTCCTTTAGGCTGTCTTTTCAAACTTTTTAAATTCCATTAATGGGTCTCTTAGCTAATTCGGACTGATATCTACCGAAGAAACCTGAAGATAAACAAAATAGATCATTTCAAAGTTTTAGGTAATAAACATCATAATCAGTGAACAGCTTGGTTTCATTGAAGTCCTTATGTTTTCTGCTGTTGGCAGGAATGGGAACACAAGTGCATAATAAAGGCTACTTGCCAAGTCATTATTCCATGAGGGACCTTAGTGAGGATTCTAACAGTAGTATTTGGCCTCTATTTTACGGAGATAAGACCTTCACAAATGGACAATATTATAATGGTTTCGTGTCGAGGACAAAAACAGACGCATATCCAGGATATAATAAGGATGTCCTAAAGCAGAAAATACTTGAACACGAGTCCATATTCAAGAATCAGGTAATTTGATTCTAGTTGTCGATCTTTAGTTTTCTAATAATCAGAAGAACTTTAGTTGTTTTTAATCAAAAAAGGAATCTTTAGTGTTAAGTTTGGTTCTACATCTGGTGATTCTTTGAATTCTTTTTTCAAAAAGGAGTTTAATTCTACATCTGGAGCTAACAGTGAGACCGATTGTATTCTCATTCTCCTTTAGTTGTTACCTACGGCATGTTTCTGCACAAAAGTAGTCATTGCGCCCCCCCC